AAGCCACGAGCCACGTGGCAAGGTATAGATTTATGGAAATGGATTAATTTAAGCTATAAGAACAGTTAGCAAGAAGCCTGCCACAACCATACAGTCTGTAAGCAATATAAGTCTCTGTGTTTACTTGGTTGGGTCTGAGCTGCTGCGGGACTGGCGGGTGACAAAGATTTGTCCTGACTGTGGGCCAGGCAGGATCAGAAAAACTCTAGCTACACCTAGAGTCATACCTGTCCTTCCAGGCTCCCTCTGAAAGTCCTTAGGAGGCTCCTAACCATCCAAGTGCAGGATCCCTTAAAATGGTTTAGTTTATCCCCACAGGTGGGTTTAGGAGCTGACCTGCCACTCCCCTCGGCACGCGAAGGGTTAACAGCCACAGCCCACAGTGGCTTATACCTGTTCAAGCCAGACAGGGTCCCAGAACTGAGAGGGGAAGAGGATCTGAGGTCCCACCCCCTAACCGGAAGCTATGTGCAATTGATCCCTACTGAAAAGGGGAAGTCAGTTTTCAACCATGGAGTGTCACAGGGTACACACCCACCATGCTCCAGGGCAGGCCCCACGCCCAGGAGGAGTGGGCCAACACAAAATGAACTTCATGTTGGTTTGGGGGGGCTTTTTGTTCCCTTTTGTTTTTGTCTTGCTAGTTCTTTGTCTTGGGGTGTGTGTGTGTGTGTGTGTGTGTGTGTGTGTGTGTGTGTAAGAAAACATAAAACTGTGTGAGTAGGGAGGTGGGAAGGAGTTGGGAGAGGGGGAAAACCTGATCAAAATATATTGTATGAAAATTAAAAAAAAAATAACAAGTTGGGCAGTGGTGGCTCACACCTTTAATCTCAGCACTTTGGAGGCAGAGTCAGGCAAGATCTATGGGGAGTTCAAGGCCAGCCTGGGCTACAGATGGAGTTCTAGGACAATCTACACGGGAGGGAGGGAGGGAGGGAGGGAGGGAAAACCAATTCTCTTTTGTTCTCTGCACAGAGAAATCCAACATATTCTCACCTGTGTTCAGACCAGGCTGCCTTGCATCACCTGACTGATATTTACCAAGAGGAGGAAGTGAGTGAGGGTCTCAAAGAAAACATCAGGGTGTGGCGGGCGGCCTCTGAGATGGTCCCCCCACCTGGAGGTTTCCCTGGGTGTGGGCTGGGCTCTGGGTTCACTCCTAACACGTGGAATCTGATACAAGGTTCCATCACACAACGCTGTGACTTCTGCCCTGGGGGCTTGCTCCTGCTCTCTTTGGCATTGCATACCCTATGAGAAGGGGCTACCCTGTGCGGGGGAAACCCTCCATCCGGCCCATGCGTTAGGGATTGAGGCATGGACAATAAGCCTGTGACTGAGCTTGGAGGCTAGCCAGTGCATGCCAAACTTTCAGATGAGACCATCACTCTTGCAGTCACATGACCACAGCCTTGTTAGCTCTCTTCTGGAAGGCCAGCTGGCTGGTGCCTGCCCTTCCAACAATGCAGGCGAGTCAATGGTCTCCATGCCTGGGCGTTCATCTGCTCACTTTGGAGACCACACGCTGCCGCAGATGACTAAGACATATCACTTCATTAAGGAGCTGAGGCAAAATCTCCCAGCTAGCCTCAGAGTGAGCCGGCATGCCACAGCCTGGGTGGCAGATGAGCGCTGGTAACAGCAGCAGGGTAGCACATCACTAATGGAGTTCCAAGCCTGGCACTTCCCTGAGACTTTACAATCTTGACCTTGACACATCAAAAGATAAGCAAATAGGACCAGCAGCTTTAGTTCACTGAGCGAATGGTGGCACCCTCCCTAGCCATCCCCAGGTCACGATTGGCCCCAAGAAGAAAAAGTCAGCCTGTGTCTGAGAGACATCATCATGGCCTTTAGGGATGACCCCATCAAGCAATGATGGACCAGCCCTAACCTGAGTCTCCAGGGCAGGGTGCTGGGGTGGCCTTGGCCACCCAGGTCCGGGCTCAGTGTTTTTACAAGGTCAAACCTGTTTTTAAAGAAAATCCTATCACTTGTCCTTCGTATTCAATGTCAAGAATATCTGTAAATTACATTACTTTAAACTCATTTCCTCTTGGGCTATTCCAGATGATGATTTTTTAAAAAAATGCCAGTCAGGATTGATATGATCACCTTTCTCTCTCTCTCTCTCTCTCTCTCTCTCTCTCTCTCTCTCTCTCTCTCCCTCCCTCCCTCCCTCCCTCCCTCCCCTCCCTCCATCACACTATCCCTCAATCCCTCCTCTTAAAATAAACAGACCCAAACTCCAGAAGGTTCTCAATATCATGTTATACAAGGGGAGGCAGAAAGATGGATAAGGTGGTGGTGGTGTTTTAAAGGTCATTGAAGACGAAGGGGTTTGGTGGGTCAATCAATTTAACCAGACACTTCCCCTGTCCTTTCTAAGCAGCAGGAATTATGGGTCGCTCTGGGAAGAGGGCAGGCACCTCATGCAGCGCCTCTGAGGGACGGCAAAGTTGCCTCCGCTCACGGCAGGTCACAGTCCAGCAGCAACTACCCGTGAAAGTGCCCCCATCTTCCTTCCACTCTCCCCCCCATCTTCCTTCCACTCCTCTCCCCCCTCCTCCTCTTTCCTTCTCCCCCCCCCCATCTTCCCTCTCCCTCCTCTCCCCCCCAAAGCCTTGCAATCCAGAAGCAGTGGCCCTGCCTGCCTCTTGGTGACTGGAGAAAATTGAAAAGTGATTCCCCTCCTCTCCCTCAGCTCTTTAGGGGACATTAGACCTGGGGAGGCAGCACAGGGGAAACCTGGCTCCCAGGCTGCAGAATATGGTGTGTCACCCTGCTCTGGTTTCAGGTTTGGGACCTGCTTGCTGAACCTCGTGCTGGGGTCGCCCCAGTTCCTAATCTCCAGCCAGCCCCACCAATGGGAATGTTCACACCCATTATGTCCAGCTCCGGTGGTTCGGATTTAAAGATAATAATAAAAATGAAAACTCTCCGAATCTACTGTTCCTTTAACATATCAATGTAGACCTAAAATCCTGGGCCGGCAGGAAGGGCGGATGTTCTGCTTTGGGTACATCTGTATCTTTCACAGTGCTCAGAGGTGGAAAGCCTTCCCAGGGTTCAAAGCCTTTGGGGAAAACCCTAGATTGCTGAGATGCGTCTCTGCTCCATAAAGGTCTGGCCCTAGTACGCCTTCCATTTCCAGCTCCTCCTCTGGAGCGGAGGCCCTTCTCCAGCCCTGGGTGTCCTCTCTAGTTACAGCTCCACGCTCTCCTCACGGGTCCCCCGATTGACCTAGGGTCACCCCTCCGTCCCCAAGCCCCTCTCTGTGTCACTATCCCATGTGCATTTGCCTGCTTCCCCCTGGCTGTGGACTCTTGGCCACATTCCTCTCCCTGGATCCTGGGCCGTGTGCGAGCTTCTCTGAACTTCAGTGTCCCTCTCCTGGGGTCCCAACCCCGACCCCTTAAAGCTACCAATGACTCCTGCTCCTCCTAAGGAGTGCTCTGTGTATCCATGAAGCTGGCCTGCCAGCAGTCGGCCTGTGGTGTCGAGTCTCCAAAGCTCTGGAATCAGACTCGCGGGTTGCTTCCTCACACACTGAGGAGCCAGTGGGACTCCGGGGCTTACTCGGAAGTGAGGAGAACTGAGTGTCTTAGTCATCGTTGCTGTGAAGAGACACCGTGACCATGACAACTCTTATGAAGGAACACATTTCAGTGGGGCTGGCTTACATTCAGAGGTTTGGGGTCATTGTCGTCATGGCAGGAAGCATGGCGGTGCACAGACAGACGTGGTGCTGGAGAGGTAGGTGAGAGTCCTCTATCCACATCAGCAGGCAGCAGAGAGTATGACAGACACTGGGTCTGGCTTGAGCATTTGAAACCCCAAAGCCTACCCCCAATGACTCACTTCCTCCAACAGGGCCACACCTACTAACTCCACTCCCTGGTGGCCAAGCATTCAAGTCTCTGAGCCTGTGGTGGGGGTGGGGGTGGGGGATTCTTATTCAAACCACCACAGTGTGTAAGGATGAGAAATGGCACAAATGGCCGGCATAAGGCCACGGGGATCAGGGTCACATTGCTCCCTGGGTAGAGCAGGAAGCTGATTGGGCCTCAGAGCCCCTACCACAGAGACTCTTGACTTATGGGAAATCCATCACATTCAGAACAGAAGGGCCACCAAAGCCACCTGGAACATCCAGGAGATCACTAACTGCCTTCCAAGCACAAGATGTCAGGGACATGGCAGCTTCCTACCTCACCCATGGTTTGAGTCACCCAGGGGCAATGTGGTCTGGAGACGTTAAATGGAGCATTCCAAAGCAACATAGAAAGTTTAAATACTTAAACAGATTACTATAGGTCATGACTATAACTCCTCTCTTTTAGTTACTATTCACCTCTCGCTGTTCTTATTTACAAGCTAGACTCTTAGGTCGGAACACAAATCCAGCACACAGCACATACGTGATCTGATATTACCCACCGAGTCAGGTACTCTTGGGATGCCTTGGAACATGTCTCCTGTGGACCAAGGGGGAACCTCTATACTAGAATTTTCATTTTCGTTTGGAAAACATATTTGAACACAAATGCAAATGTGCTTTGCACACTTAGGCCCCTGCCATTCTCCGTGGTCACAGCACAGTAGTCTAAACATAACGGAGTGTGTGCGTGTGCCACTAAAACCAACTGTGCCATGAGCAGACCCCCCGTCTACCTGTGGGCCACCATTACAAATGCAAAACTTCACCTCCGAGTTCTCATGCAAACTTGGGGGGCCTTTTCCACCCTGGGGCCCAAACGCATTTGTTTCCATTGCACTGCCTGGAGGCTGTTGGTGACTCGGAGTCACGAATGCGGTACAGGCTCTGTGTGTTAAAGACGACAAAAGCCAACCGACGAGACCCAGTTAGGAAAGCGAGGAGGCTGCATGCAAGAAGTAATTTGAGGGAAACAGAACTTAGGAATAATTCCAAATTCTACTCTTGAAACTTTGCCACTCAGAGACTCAACATTCTTGAGCCTGGAGCGATTCAAAATCTGCCTGTGAGCTAAGCAATTAAGAGTAGGAATTGGGGCCAAACTAGACAAGTTCCAGTCCAAATCCCATTACAGCTGGGTGGCCCGGAGCAGACTGCAGACACTCTCTCTAATTATTATTATTTTTTGGAACAGTGCTGTATATCCACTCATAAATGCTTCTATAAGGGTTAAAAAATAAATTAACAGTAAAACTTAAGTGGCTTGCGGTGCAGTTGGGTACATCCTGCTATGCCTCATGAGATGTTAATCCCGATTCTAAGCAAGAAGTCCATGCATCATGATGGTTAACACTGTCGAGTTAGCTGGTTCTAGATGAACCAGCACCGATGAGACACGCTTCCGGGCACCCCTGTGAGTCATTACCCAGATTAGAGTAACTGAGGTGGAATGACCCACCGTGACTGTGGATAGTAACGTTCCAAGGCCCAGGGCCCCAGGATGAGTTAGAGGTGGAAACTGATCAAACAAGCTAAGCTCAAGCATTCATCATTTTCGGCTTCTTGACTGCAGAGGAAACGCAACCGACCAGATGCCTTTAGCTCTTGCTGCCAGCCTTCCCACCAGAGTGGACTCCGCCTGCAGACCAGCCCAAACCAGTCTTTATCTCCTCCGGTTGCTCTAGCCTGGCAGTTTGTCACAGCAAGGAGAAAAATAACCAAGATGAGCAGCTATTGAGATCATCTCATAGTACAAAAACCAATAGTCATAATCTCAATAAAACAAAAAGTAAAAACACCTTTGCCAAAGCTGGGCATGGTAGCTCACACATCTAATCCTGACTCTTTGGGATTCTAGAACAGCCTGGGCTCCATGGCAAGATCCTATCTCACTTCTGCCCCCTAAATAAAAACAACAACAACAACAACAAAGCCTGCGGATTCTAGAAGTTCTGAGTGGCTGAGAGCAAACGGCAAGTTGCATGGCAGACGTGGAGAAAAGCATGATGGGAAAAGGCCCAGCCCACTTACCCCCAGGATCCCAAGGCGCTCAGCCAGGCTCCAGCCGCAGAGAAAGTCAATCTCAAACTTGTGGTTGAGAACCACGATGGCGTTTTCTTTCCCATAGTGGGGGGAGGACCTCGGGTCGGTGTAGATGGTGCACTCGGTGCCTGACCACCACTCCAGAAGCATCACCAATTCTGCAACAAACCAGAGGACACACACGTATTTACTCCACCGTCCTGGGGGTCTGGGTCTGCTTTCCTTGGGTCATGCAAGACAAAGCTGTAGCTAAGGCTAATTTTGCAGTGCATTTCAGCCGGGACCCCAGGAGTTGAAAGGGTTCAGAGCGGAAGGGTTATAAATAAGCAAGATGCGGCAACAGTCTTCAGGGAAGGAGAGGAAACTTCCGGGTGGCCAGTCCTTTATACCTCTTGATGAAGTGACTTGGGAGAAATAATATTAGAGTCTGGATCCACCCACATCCATGTCCTGGTGCTAACAGCATGAGATGATGTATGTTCTAGAAAATGACTGGCGGATAGGCTTCTAAACCCCATCAAAGAACACTATGGACCCAACTCCTCCTCTCCCACTGATGACACATGTTGGCATCAAGAATGACCAGCAACCATGATGGAGGAAAACACAAGTTTCTCCATTTCAGTGACTCAGAGTTGTCATGCTGTAGGTGTGACAAAATTATTACCATATTCTTTGGAGGGGCTTATGAAAATTGAGACTTGCTTCCAGGTGACAATCTGTGTTCTTGGGTGATGCCTTTATTCTAGGCGGCCAGTTTTCTGAGGCTGGTGGTCTCAGGAAAAGACTGGGTGGTGGACACTCTAGACACGGAGTTGAACTTAAATGACAACACAACCCCTTGAAGTGAACCTTTAGAGTGAGTGGTGTTGGCAGGGGGTGTGTGCTATATGAATACTCTATGAAGGCTGCACCCTTGTTTATACTGCTTAGTGGGGTACATTGTGTAGAGGGCTCCCACACCCTGCATGCACACAAAGACAAGTGGGTCTGGCTTCGATTGCCCTGGAAACTCCTTTCTCTTCCCGATTGGAGGCTGAATATGGCACACTAGAACCATCTAGAAGGCCCCATATTCTAGTTTCTAAGTAGTGACACTGTGGGCTTTCCATAAGCCAGCCCCATGGTGCTGTGGGATGTCCTTCTGTATGCTGTGAATGTGTGTTGCTCTCAGGGGTTGATAATAAAGCTTTTTGGCTTATGGCAAGGCAGGATAAGGTTAGGCAGTACAATCAAACTGAGAACTGAGATGAAGAAGGATGGAGTCAGGGAGCTGCCCAAGGAACAAGATACCAGAGGACCAGTAAGCCACAGACCACAGGGCAATAAGTAGATTAATAGAAATGGGCTGATTTAAATGTAAGCACTAGTTAGTAATTGGCCAAGCATTTATAATTAATGTAATCCTCTGTGTGGTAATTTGGGAAGCGGCTGCTGGGTATTTGGAATCGGAGCGGATGGGACAAAAAGCTCTGCCTCTGCCTCTGCTTACACCATGCCTTAGTCATGTCTTTGTCTTTGGTGTGTGCATGCTTCAGGGGATCTTGTAAAAATTGCTGGTAGTCAGAACCACTCCAGTTCCCTCTTAGGAAGGCCACCTGGGATGTGTCAGGGGCTGTCAGGTAAAGAGAATGTCACCGATCCTGCTGACCTCCATGATATACCTTTGATCATTGCCAAGGCATGCCCCCGTTCCCTAAGGCTGAGTCACCTGAGTGGGGACTTGCTAGCCTCAAGTCCACTAACAGAAAAGGTAGAGAGAAGACTAAACAGACATACTGTGCCATAGAGAACCCCCTTGTCACCTCAGATCATCCCCAGGGACTGACTCTACTGAAATGACTCAGACATTTCTCCCCTGCTCAGTCTGTGAGTCTGGCATTTCAAATGACACCAACAGCTGCCAAGTCCCCTGGACTGTAGATATTTGGTCTCTCTGGGCCTTTGTCCTATTTATGCAGGTCAAAAGCCTGACTCTACCATAACTGTAGACACGGGAGCCTGTGGTGATATTGTATTCCTCAAAATATTGTGCACCCTAATAAACTTGTCTGGGGTCAGAGAACAGAACAGCCACTAGATATAGAGGCCAGAAAATGGTGGCACACACATCTTTAATCCTAGCATTCTGAAGGCAGAGATCCGC